TTTATATGTCATAGACATATGCTTAAAGGTATTTAAAAATATCATATCATTTGTTGAGTGAAAAAAGAAAGTTACTGGTTGTATTAGTCGAGATTCTCCAGGGGAAAAAAAACCAATAGGATGTGTACATATACAGAAAGATATTTATTGGGATGCCTGGATGGCTCATTTGGTTAAGCATCTGCCTTTGGCTCAGGTCATGATCCCAGGGTCCTGGGATCGAACCCCGCATCAGGCTCCTTGCTCCGCGGGAAGCCTGCTTCTCCCTCTGCCTGCCACTCCCCCTGCTTGTGCTCTCTCTTTGAGAAATAAATAAATAAAATCTTTTTTTAAAAAAAGATATTTAGGGGCACCTGGGTGGCTCAGTCGTTAAGTGTCTGCCTTCGGCTCAGGTCATGATCCCAGGGTACTGGGATCGAGCCCCACATGAGGCTCCCTGCTCCACGGGAAGCCTGCTTCTCCCTCTCCCACTCCCCTTGCTTGTGTTCCCTCTCTTGCTATGTCTCTTTCTGTCAAATAAATAAATAAAATCTTTAAAAAAAATAAAAATAAAAAAAGATATTTATTGCAAGGAATCAGCAAATCCAAAATCTGCAAGGTGGGCCTATAGGCTGGAGACCCAGGAGAACCAATGTTTCTGTTTGAGCCTGAAGGCTGTCTGCTGGAGACTGAAGAAGAGCTGATATTTCAGATGAAGTCCAAAGACCATCTGCTGGAGAAGTCTCTCTTGCTCAAGGGAAACTACTCTTTGGTTGTTTTCAGGCCTTCAACTGATTGGATGTGGCCCACCCACAGTACAGAGCACAATCTGCTTACTCAAAGTCCACCAATTTAAATATAAATCTCTCCCTAAAACACCCTCACAGAATAATGTTTGATCAGATACCTGGGCACCCCACGGCTCAGCCAAGTTGACACATTAAATTAGCCATCACATTGAACAAAGTGAAGAATGCAATCTCATAAATGTAAAACCACATACATATATCCAAACAAAAAGAGAGATAGCTAGAAGGAGATCACCAAAATGCTAACAGTGGTCACTTCTCAGAATCAGCCTCTCAAGATCTTTTTAATCTCCCTTGAACATTTATGTATTGTTTCCTTTTTTGGTAGAATGAATGCTATTACATTTTCAGTTAACATTATCATCATCACAATCATCATTACAAAAGTGATCAAGCGTTTTAAAAAATACTCTATTGCCTAGCACATAGGAAATGCTGGGGAAATGGCAGAATGCTGGAACCCTTCCGCAAGAGGCCAGCTGACCAAAAGCTGCTTCAGGATACCTGACATTCTACCAGTGAAGTTTTGTTCTTCAAATGGAAGAGCTTTCTTTCCTCAAAATATAAGTCGTGGCAGAAGAAATATCACTTGAAGACTTACATGTTTGTTTGTTTGTTTTTAAGTAGGCTTCACATTGTACTCAACACAGGACTCGAACTCAAGACCCTGAGACCAAGACCTGAGCTGAGAGCAAGAGTCAGATGCTTAACCGACTGAGCCACCCAGGTGCCCCTAGACTTATATGGTTTTTAATGAAGGAATGACTTGATTTGTTTTTTTTTTCCTTAAAGCACACAGTGATTTTTTTTAGAATATAGTTATGTAGCCAAGGGGTGTCCAGAAGATGCCAGAAATGGGGTAACCATGGGCACAGAGGGATGCCTAGAGATGGCGAGAATAAACTTCTCCCACCGCAGGCCTGACGGGAAATGGAGTTCTCTAGGCCTGACCTGGCCTTATGCCAGGGAATGTCTGGAAGACTTCCCTGACCAAGCTCCCTTGATTTCCCTACCCGTCTGGGCTCTATGTGAATCTCACTTAGTGCCTCCAGGTAGAGTGAACAATGGGGACAACCCTTCAACTATCCACTAAACAGAAGTATTGATAATGATTACACAGGGATGTGGGTGAAGAGTCCCACTCAAATGTTTGTCAGTAAAATATCTGCCATATGGCAGGACAGGAAGAAGTTCCTCTGAAACGAACCCACTGCTCTGTGCAAATAAACTACCGAAACAATTTATGAGTAAACTCAACTGGGAGAACTCATACATTCTGAAATGTATACACCGACTGTGGCCATTCTGCAGGCCATTAACTCCACTAATTATGACAGTGATTGAAGAGATAAGGCTCCTTGCTGGGCAGACAGGCATCTCCCTGCCTCCAAACAGAGGGAAGGGAGGAAGAAATCTAGCATTTACTGAACATTTGCAATACGCCCAACATCTTCCTATGTGATAGCTCTACAACAATCTTGTGATGCAGGATGATTTTCGCAGGTTAGGGAACTGAAGTTCAGACAGGATCACGGCATCCAAGGTCAAACTGGAAATAAATAGCAGGGCTGGAATTTAGGATCTTCAGGCTTCAGATTCAATGTGCTCCCTCTTGCTCCAGCAGCTTCTTCTCACCAAGTAAAGAAAACAAGAACATCAAACAAATAAGTAATGACTTGTGAGTACTTTCTTTGTGAGCTGTCTGTTGCCTTGAGTGCTTGCCAGCACGTTGGATGTGGATGTTTAACACATTTTATCTTTATAGGATGAAACTCCTAGAGGACAGAGATTAGTCTGATCTTTCCTAGAGTCCCTAGAGCACTGAGCAAAGATCTGGCAGAGTGGAAACAGAGATGGGCTTGGCTGCCCAGATCGCGTGCAAGGGTCCAAATCCAGGTTCTGCCATTCACTAGCGAGGAGTTTTGCACATACTTAACCTCTCTGTGCTTTAGATTCCTTATCTGTGAGACAGAGGTGGTGATCATAGTAGTCTGACTTCACAGTGGCATTAAGCAGATTAAATGAGTTAATACAAAAGACGTAAAATAGTGTTTGACACATGTATTCACTCAGTAAATGTTAGCTTTTTATGTGTCGGGGAACCTGAAGTTCCCAGGGCTTTAATTTTCTCTCCCCGAGTTCTGTCAGGTGCAGAGGTGTTCAGATAAGCACTTGTCCCTTTAGACCCCCATAAAATACTTTGTAATTTCATCGTGGGCCATTATTTCGAAGCAGTTTTCACCCATGATTGCAGATGATTGTAACTATATGAGTTGGTGCTCAATGAATACTTGATGACTGAATGAAAAGCAGAAATTTTAAAGACTGAGTTACAGAGAGCAGCGAAAACTTGCCCAAGGTCACCCAGGGAGATGGCAGCACAGCCCAGACTTTCCGAAAAAGAATTAGTGTGCTTGCCCCTTCCCTCCCTGCCTACCACAGAGGTTCAGTCCCCTGATAATCGCCTTCAAGGGTCTCTGTGTCCCATCCACCTCCACCGGTATGTCCCCTTGCTTGGGCTGTCTCTAATTTCTAAGCTTGAAATTCACTGGTCATACAGAAAGCATTTTATCTGACCTTCCACATGCAAATTCTTTCCATTGGGATTTCTTGGTGTCCGGCTCCACCCCAGCCCGCATGGCCATAAACACTTGTGTGTCTGCAGCTTGGCCCCAGGGATTCCAGAAATAACAGCAGGGCCCTACATTAGAGCGCTAGGACATAGTGAGGCATTTTTGCATTGACACAGGCCTTTTCCAACCCAGGCCTCTCCTGTCCGTCAAAGCACAAAGCAACCTTTACAAGTCAGGACAGGGAGGGGCCCGTAGGAGGGAGTTTAGATTTCTGGAGAGTCTGTACCTTCTCCTGCCATCTGTGCGAACTCTCAGATCTTCCATTCTAGAGATTCTCCAGATCTGCTCCAGTCCCCAGTTAGATTTGAAATTCTTTCTCAGCTGTGGCATTCTTCGGCTTTCAAAGACCCACTCCCTTGCACGTGTTGGAACCAGAATCACAGCAGTGTGAGCCCAGATGGCAATTTTCATCTTAAGATGGCACAGAGATCTCTTCCCAGACACCCAGGAAGGCCACCTGAATTGTCAGGCATTGGCGACCTGCCAAGAGCGAAGGGCGTGGCTGGAGGGGTGTGCCTAGTTTAAAGAGAAAAGAAAGTGCTAGTGGTGACCCTGAATAAAAGGCATCTGGGGCAAACTTTCTCACTTCAGAAGAGTGTGAGCAGGAGAAAGTCTAGGAGAAAGTCAAAAGTGAACATCTAGGAGAGAATTTTAGGTTTCCAAGTGTCCTCTCAAAAATAACACCAGAAAATGAAACCCATATACACATAAAACGATGTGTAAAAAAATTATGTATTTAGATGCATAACCTGGAAAGACCAGACAGAGATATAAGAACAGCTGCTTTGGGCGGGGAGGGGTGCATAATGTGCGTTTTTCTCCAAATTATCCTGATTGGCAGGATAAAATTAGAACATCTGGCCATTGCCGGAGAGACCTGCCTGGACTTTCTCGGGAATTTTACAAGGGAATTTTTGGCTTTAGGTGCCCGTCTGAAAACTTGAGTTGGTCATGAAAAGTCATTCTTAAGCGACTTTCTCCAGGAACGAATTCCTCTTTAATGGGGACGGGATTATTTCTAATTCGCAGCTCCAATCGCAACGTCATTAAAAGCTGGGTTCAGTGCATGGAGCTCCAAACCTTTGTCACGAATGGGGAAGGTGGAGGAAAGAAAGGAGCTTGTGCAACCAAACAGCCGCTTATGTCACCATCCCGGGCCCTCCTCACCAGAGCCGAGGGGAGCCGCGGCTGCATTAGCCCTCAAGATGCAATGCACCATCTGCGGCGGGGCTGCAGCAGGAGACACGGCCACCGCGGGAGAGGTGGGGCGAGACTCCCGCTCCCGTGCCGCACCCACAAGTGCTGCGGGTGGCGGGGAGGATGAGGGGAGTTGGTAACAGCATCGCCATGGCAACAGTGACGTCCTTTTACCCTGGATCTAATTGGAGGAAACCCCGTGGCCGAAGCCGCAGCCTGCCGGCCAACCTAACTTGCCCAAGCCGACCCACCCTCCTAGCCTCCGCTTCCCCTCCCGCCCCGCCCTCTTTGCCCCCTTCCGCGCGCTCAGTCCTCATTGGCCAGCCGCGGATCTGGAGGCGGGACTCTCGGGAGCATCTCGGCGCGTCATTGGGCGGCAGGAGCAAGGGCAGCGGCGCGGCGGCCCGTCCCTCGGCTCCGGGGTAGGCTGAGACGGGAGGGTCCTCGGCTAAAGCCAAAAGCCGATCAAAGTGGTGGGACTCGCGCCGCGGCCGCGGAGACGTGAAGGTGAGCGCCACGGTCGCCCCTGGCCCTCCTGGGCCTGGCCGGGCCTGAGGGCAGGGCGGGAGGCCGGCCCTCGGGAGCGGCCGGCCTCGACGCCGCTCTCAGGGACGGCTCTGGCGGCAAGGTGTGGGCCAACGGCCGCTTCCATCTTGGGCCGGGCGGGCGCGGGAGCGGCCCTTCCTCCTCCCCTTACCCCGGGCCGCCTCCGCGGGGCGCCCCTCGGCCTCCCGGGCGCTGGCGGGGAGCGTGGGCGGGGGAGGGAAATTCAACTGGGTGGCGCGTGCGGGGACGGACAATAGGGGCGGCTGGCGGGCGGCGGGCGGCCCCGGGTGGCGGGTGCATTGTCTGACGGCGCCGCCCCCGCCTTTCTGTCCGCGCCGCCACCCGCAGGCCGTCCGCACGCCTCCTCCCGATCCGGGTCGGTGCTCGCCCTCGCTCTCCTCTCCGCGTCCCCATGGAGAAGACGGAGCTGATCCAGAAGGCGAAGCTGGCCGAACAGGCCGAGCGCTACGACGACATGGCCACCTGCATGAAGGCCGTGACCGAGCAGGGCGCCGAGCTGTCCAACGAGGAGCGCAACCTGCTCTCGGTGGCCTACAAAAACGTGGTCGGGGGCCGCAGGTCCGCCTGGAGGGTCATCTCGAGCATCGAGCAGAAAACCGACACCTCGGACAAGAAGTTGCAGCTGATTAAGGACTATCGGGAGAAAGTGGAGTCTGAGCTGAGGTCCATCTGCACCACGGTGCTGGTGAGTCTGCACTTGTCCGGGCTGGGGAGAGAAGGGGTTGCGGGAGCCGGGGAATTGTGCGACTGGGGCGCCAAGGCCCTTTTGTGTGTGAAGCCTTTCATTGAGAATTTCATGGGAATGGGAAAGAAACGTGGGCCGGGGCTTGCCTAATTGTCTGCCGACGTGTGGAGGATTTTAGAAGGTTAGCCTTGGCCTCCTGAATGTGTTGTTTCAGTTCTTGAGACTCAAAAAGCTGCTTTTCCAGAGGTGAGCAGATCTTCGCCCAGATGCTGGGTTGCTACCAAACTGTGTAACTTTGAAACATCCAAGTAGGTTTTTGCAAGACTGAATATCATTTTCCTAAGAGTACTGAGGAGATCTGGGAACCCTTTAAATGAACGGAATCAACTCCCAGGCTCCATCCAGCCTGTTGGAAAGAAGGTGCAGGCACCTTTTCGATAGAGACGCAATGTGTGTGTAGTAGGTTTTCCTCCCAAACCTAGTAATGGAAATTTACTTCAAAAATCTGAACAGATACTTCATTTTTCAAGTAACAGTGTCTGTTGAGCTTTTCCGTGCTAAAAGGAGTGGAGGGGGTGGGGAAAGTTGGGTAACTGTGAAGAAGGTACAGATAAATCCAAAGGACAAAATGTCCTGATAAATTTCAGTATTTGATAACATTTTCTCGCTATTATTTAGTTACGTTTAAACACTAATAAATCGAATCAAATTCATTTCTGGTGTGGAGCAGGCAAGGAAAGCTGTCCAGGTTGTGAACTGTCCAGTCTTAGCATTGGGTGGAGTAGGTGACTGCTCTGATTCACTCTTACTAGTGAGAGAGAACATTTTTAGCTTTGTCATGGCATTGGAGCTTTTGATCAGTAACTTAAGGTTTTAAATTTTAAACGCCAGCATTATATCCTGGAGTGTTTTTTTAAGTACAACTTTTACAAAAGGCCTACTGATTTTGGGCGTTTTAGGTGGGCTTTGAAAGGCAAGTGTGCTAGATTGGTGATTATTCAGGAGGCAATAGAAGAGAAAATGCCTCTTTCCTTCCCAACCCTCTCGTTCTTGCCCCATCAGATAACAAATGGCAGGAATTTTTTTTTTTTTTTTTACTTCTTTAACCTAGTTTTCTAATACAAATAATGGGTGATCTGGTCAAAGTCCTGGCTAATGGAGATAGCAGGTAAAGGGGCGATGCAGAGAGTGTACTTTATGTTATATTTATAGGTCTCCTTAGCTTCCACTCCCTCCCTGGCATGGAGGAGGCACTTTAAAAGCTTTTCAAACTGAATTGCTGCTGCTTGACTTCAAGAAATTTGCCAACTTGAAAGAGATGGCAGACTTCAGTAGCATATGGTAATGGTTATTGACAACATTGACTCTGTGAGCAAGGGAAGACTCCTACAAATTCCATGTGTTAAGGAGAAGCTTTTCTATGTATATAGGACTTGGGTGCTCTCACAGCATGTTTCAGTCTCTTTCTGTTCAGTTATTACTTCGTGTTTTGTTACTTACCTTGCAGCAATTCAGAATTACCACAGAGCTTTTCCTCTTCTCTAGCAAGTGAACTCTGGGCCAAAGGAATATCTTTTATTTGGTGGTTCTTATAAATTTAGTTTGTATGATGGCGTGAGTAGAGTTTTGCTTAGTTGACAAGTGACTTGAAAGACCAGGTATATTAGACTTTTCTAGAGATCATTTCAATAGGAGAGAACCCCTGAAATGAGGACAATTTTTTTTATACGAAGTGAAATAGAGTTTAGTTTGATTCGTTGGAGACGCCAAGGTGTAAGTAAAATATTTTTATTAACAAAATGGCTTCAGAAACTAATTGTGACTTGATGTGCAGCCTATAAAGAAATCTTGGGAAAGCCCATCTTCAAGTTGGCAACTGTTTTTGAGAGCTTCGTATGTGCAAGGCACTTTGCTAAGCAGTATGGGGAAGAAAAAAACGAAGAACCATAGATTTTTGTCCTCTAATAATTGATAATACAGAGTGCATGTGAGAAATTCCCAAGTATGTAATTCCCATAAGATGCTTATGAACAAAATGCTACGTAGTTCAAAGGAAACCGAAACCTCAGGAAAGGCTTCACAAAGCGTGGTTTTGGAGTGAGCTTTGATAGAGGAGAGTCGGGAAAGGGAGGTTGGAACCATATAAGAGAATGTCAGAGTGAGATTTCTTCATTTGGTTGACAGTGAGGGAGGCACTGAAGATTTTTGAATGGTTTTTGAATGGCGTACATGTCGCAGCATCTAGAATTCATGGTTTGAGTGCTGATTACCGGCTTGTAACCTTAACTGACAGACAAGAAGGAAGTGATAGACTAGTGAGCAAAGCCTGATGATTGATAAGTTAGTAATTTAATGCAGATTCTACCAAAATAATGAGGAAAGAAGAGTGAAACATGAGATTTCTGAACATGGGTGCTAAAATGAGACTTTCTCTTTTTTCCTTTGGTGAACAGGAAGGTGAATTTGGTGTGGAGAAAGTAAGTGAAACTGACTTGTTATAGAAGACTAGTAAAAAAGTAACCTGAAGGATGGGCAAAATTTTGATCCTAAATAGCAGAGATTCTTAGCCTTTCTCTTTTATAGAGCAGTAGGTTGGGGGTGGAATTATTTGGACTATTTACTCAAAATAACCATGGAGGACAACTTTCAACTCTTGATAATCACTGTATTGAGAGAGGATACTGAACTGTAGAGGCAGGAAAAAATGCTAAAGTCCAAATGAGTAATTGAAAGAGCAAAGGAGATTAAAGAGGGCCCAAATGGCCAAGACCAAACTCTTCGTAGTATCTTAGAGAGGTTAGAGATTTCACTCAGTTACCGGTCTCTCAGGGTTGTTTGTGAAACCAGAGGGTTGGGCTAAGTTTCTGGGTCTCTTTTCATTCTCATTTTGGGGGACTAGAAAGTTCTACAGATCCTAGCCATTCAACCTCTGTTCTGACTTTCTCCCAACTCTAAAATGAGTAATTTTTAAAGTCCAGGTTGAAGAACATGTCATTGACAGTGTATGAAATGTTGGAAAACTAACATCTATAGCAAAATGGTTTCAGGAGGAGGAGGTGATGCATGAGTTGTTGGTTTATTGGGAGTAGCAAAGTTTAAGCAAGAAAGATTAGTAAGTTGTATGACAACCATGCAGGGTAAATATCAGATGTGGGGTGTTTGGGAGTCATCAGGAACTTAGGTGTGAGGTAAGGGCAAATTAAAGAAATCAGAAGGTTCACCAGAGCCTTCTGGGACTTGGTAACAAAATTTGTCATCTACAAAGTCAGTGACCTTGGAGTAAGAACAAGACACTTAGAGAACGTATACAAGATAACGTCTGTCTCAGACAACCCCATGTTATCCTTGGGTGTTGATGGTCTTTTAGTAGACTAATTTTAATAAGCTGGTTTGGTATAACATATAAATAATGTATGAAACTAAGGTGTATGTAAATAAGAATAATTTAAAATGGGATAACAAAACTGTGAAAGTTGTGTCTGTGTGTAAAAGCAATGTGACCTTAATTCAGTAATACGCTTGAATTTAGTTAAGGGTTCTAAATTAATCTTTTAATGAAAATGTGTCTTGTGTTGGTTATTATTTTGAAGTAAGACTGATCTTGATAGTTAATGAATCTTAATGTAGTTTTATTGACATAATGGAAAAATTATGGGCCCTAGAATCATACGGACTGTTTTTGAATCATTGCACCACAGCCTTACAGTTTTGTGACCACGGGCAAGTTTCTTAATCTCTTGGCCTGTTTCTTCATCTATAAATTGATGATGATGGTGCCTGCCTTAATAGGTTTGTAGTTAAAATCATATCAAGTAACTGACATTTATTAGGCATTTACTATACACTAAGCACTATTTTAAGCAATTTATATTCATTTTGTTCCCATAAGTTAAGTTGATAGTATTATTTCTGTTTTAACCTTGAGAGAACCGAGGCATGAGGAAGTTAAATAAGTTGGTCAACATCACGAAGCTAATAAATGGTAGAGCAGGGATTTGAACCCAAGTGGTCTGACTCCAGATGAAATTAAGTGAAACCCATTTTGCCCTAAATACAGGGTAGCTGACTGAAGATTACAGTGTGAATCTCTGTTTTGAGGAATTTGTACAGTTTAATATAGGCCATTATGTCTGTAAGTTGTGAAGGAGGGAAGATAGGTCTCTCTGGTGGACAAAACTCCCAGAGTCTATAATTTTGAAGCCCTCCTTATATACAGGATATCGCATAAAATTCTAAAACTTCTTGACTCTAGCATCTTGCCTTTATATTGTTAGCTCCTTGAAGCCAAGAGTTGTTTTTTTAAGAGTGAGATGGAATGGAATGTTGTGCGTACAGACATGTAAGTATGAAGTTAGATCAGTGGTTCTCAACCAGGTTGAATTTACCCCTTGGGGGGACATTTAGCAAGTTCTGGAGACAGTTTTTGCTTGTCAAGAGTGGGAAGGAAGGGTGCTACTAACATATGGTGAGTTAGAGGCCTGAATACTGCTAAGCATCATATAATGCACAGGAAAATCCACAACAACAAAGAATTACCCAGCCCAAAGTGTCAGTAATGCCAAGGTTGAGAAACTCTGGGCTGGATCATGAATAAAGTGAGCAGTATTAAGTTGTACTAGATTGTATAATGCCTTCCTTTGGGTTCTTTTTTTTTTTAAGATTTTATTTATTTGCGAGAGAGACAGCGAGAGAAAGCAGGAACAGGAAGAAGAGGGAGAAGCAGGCTCCCTGCGCCAAAGGCAGACCCTTAACCGACTGAGCCACCCAGGCACCCCTCCCTTTGGGTTCTTACTAACATGTTGGCATCTGTCTAGATGAACCCTTTGTCTAGACTTCAGTCATTTTTTTTTTCTTGTTACTATTGTGTGTGTGCTATTTTAACTCTATAGAGTTCACTTTTCTGACACTTAATCATTGAGTGTTGTATTTTCAAGGATGTGTATCATGGTTGCTTCCAAAGCTCTAAGCTTTGCTCTTTGAAAAACTTGGCACAGATTAAA